GCTTCCCCCTCCGAAGAGGGAGCGTTCTCGTTCCCCTCCAGGGCGGATATCCTCTGAGGTGTACCCGAAGGCCTCTCCGGGAGCATCGGGCTCTGGCGGCCCTTCGGTGCCGCCGATTCCCAGAGACGATTTCGAGCTTGAGCGAAAACGGAAGTTCCTGGTAGATGACGTGCCGATTTGCATCAAGAAGACGCGTCTGCAGGCTGCTCCTACGAGTGGTTTGCCGGCCCTCCGCGAAGTGGCCATGAACGCCGTTGTGCACTCGGGACCTCAGGAGTGGTTCGACCAGAATGCCTTGGATGGTGTCTCCACGCTCGTTCAGAAGGTCGTACGAGGAGTACGTGTGCACCGAGAGCCACGGCGGAGACTCTATGATCACGACCGCCACCGGGAGTGCAATCGCCTCTCGGTGATGCTCTCCGCTACGGGCCAGTGTGCCTACAAGGACGACGGCGCGAACCGCACCAACGAGCGCACGGAGGACAGCTGGGTTGGTCTCACGCTTTTCTACCACGACAAGCCGGACGCTCATGCACAAGGGGTGTACTATTTGGACACTCCGGAGGGTCTTGTACGACAGCCGATGACTTACGAAGAATGGATCAACGTGTCATCTGTGTATGACGCATGGCTGCAGGAGGCCCGGTACGAGCACGACGTGTTCGCACTCGTGATGAAGCAGAACGCGAAGGAGCTAGACCCACGTCACTTCAACCAGCACGAGAAGGCTAAGTTCGACGAGGCCGATGCCGCCGAGTGGCGGCAATGGATCGCCAACAACACGGTCGAGCTGGTCACCGAGGAGGAGGAGAAGAGCATCCCGAAGGACAAGATCATCTCGGTGCCCATGCGTTCGGTTCGCACGAACCGGGGGCGAGGGCTGGAGCTGGAGGCGAAGTCTCGCTTGATCATCCCTGGCCATCTCGATCCGCAGCTTGGTCTATTCAGGACGGATTCGCCTACTACTTCCCCTTTGGCTGTGCTGGTGTGTGCGTCTATCACAATGGCGATGGATTGGACATTCGAGTGTTTCGACGTAGCGACTGCGTTCCTGTCCGGGCTGAAGCTGGAACGGGAGCTGTATGTGAGGGCTCCTAAGGACGGGCTTCCAGCCGTCGACGGTGCTGGATGGCCAGCCGTGCGGCCTTATGCGTTGCTTCGCTTGCTGAAAGGGGCGCACGGTCTGACTGAGGCGCCTCGGTTGTGGTATCTCCGAGCCCGCCAGGTGTTGACGGACGAGGTCGGTTTCGTGGAGCTGCGCTGTGCTCGAGCTGTCTTCGTCTATCGAATGAACGACAAGTTGATCGCTATGTTGACCTTGCACGTCGATGACGGCATGCTGTTTGGAGACCCACACGATCCCCAGTACCAGGAGGTGAAGGCGAACATCAACAGTCGTTTCAACATCAAGCACTGGAAGAAGGGCAACGACAAGGAGGCAGTCGCCTATCTCGGTGAGGAGTGGTGGCGCCACCCCGATCACATCGAGATCAGCATGCACGAGTACATCGGCAAGCTGACGAAGCACCCCCTTGCAAGGGGTGACAACGAGGAGCGGGAGATGACTCCCGAGGAGCACCACGACTACCGGAGCTTGCTCCAGAAGGTGCGGTGGCCTGTCGCACGCGTGGTGCCACAACTCGCGTATAGTGTCTCGGCGCTCGCACAGAAGGATCCGAAAGGTCGGAGGTTGCTGCACCTGCGAGTGCTCAGTGACATCATCGACCGGCTTCAGGACTACGACAAGAGAGGTCTTGCGACTCTCCGGATCCGCCGTGTGGACATCGAGCACTTGCAGGTGCTCACGCTTATGGGCGCTTCGTTTGCGAAGGAACCCGGCTGTAAGAGCCAGATGGGGTTTATGAGTATGATTACGGACACCCGAGTTTTGAAGGAGCTAACTGTATGCTGTCTAGTGGAGTTTCAGAGCAGTACTATTACACGAGTTGTTGGATCTACGATGGCCGCAGAATCTGCGGCTATGTCCGTGGCTTTGGATCGGCAGCTTTTCCTCAGGCTGCTGATTGAGGCAATCTTGCACGGGGAGCCGCCCTTGCAAGGGGACTGGAGGCTGGCGCTGAAGGTTCCAGGGGCGCTCGTGACGGATGCGAAGTCGCTCTACGATCACACGTCCAAGATCGGGTCGATGCCGGTGTCTCGGCAGACCCTCATTGACTTGCTGGTGGCCAAGGATTTGATAGAGCAGGAGGCCATCAAGTTCAAGTGGCTGCCTAATAGCCACATGCTAGCGGATGTGTTGACAAAAGCCGTGCAGCCTAACGAGGTACTATCGCAGTTCCTCCGCCACGGCCTGTTCAGCATGGTGCCTACTGCTGAGCAAGAGGATGAGGAGGCACACCGTCTGCGGCTGCGCCGCGGACAGCGTGAGCGAGCCAAGGAGCGGAAGGCCCAGCGTCGGGTCGCCGTTCCAGGGCCTGCGAGCCCGTGAGGTCCTGATTGCAGCTGCTGATGGACCTAGTGAGGGCTACGGTGAGGTACGCATATCTTTTGAGTTGATCGTCTGGAGTAGTGTATCCAGATATTCATATTCGTGTATTTATATTTTGAGCCTCAGGCCGCACCTTGCTTGAGGTGTCTCATGCATATCTTTTGAGTTGACAGTCTGGATTGGTGAATCTAGACATTCATATTTATATTTCGAGCCTCAGGCCGCATCTGCTTGAGGTGTTTCGGCCCGCGGGCTGATATACATTATAATTGCGTGCAGCGTTGCCCTTTCAGAGGGAGCGGCATCGGGGCAGCATTGTACTCACCCAGTGTGAAGAGTGCGCTCCCCTGCCCCTCTGCCGCCCGTGCCACCATGTGTGTATGTTGTACACGCTTGTCTTGCTTTGTGGCATGCACGCTGCCCGCTGTTTTGGCCCTAGTCCTAGGGCCCTGGGACGCACCCGCAGTTGGACTGCCGCGCGGTCTTTGCTGAAAACAATTGCACTGACACCTGGGAGTAGCTGTATATCGGCAGCCCTGTTGGAGGAGGCGGAGGCTGTGAGTGGTAGGGGCGTGTCCCTCTACAGGGGGAATATTCAAAAATAGTCTAAAAATAGTCGGGGGACTATTTTTTCGTATGTTTTGATTTTTGTTGGGTGCATTTTGGGGGTATTTTTTTTATCTTTCGTCGAACATCTCCCCTTTTCGGGGGCACGCCCGACAGAAAAGGCATGGATTCGGGCGGGGGGGATTCAGGAATGTTCCCAGAGGCCTCAGACCCAGGACTTGACCTTGCAGATGGGGTCGGAGGAGATGGGGTCGGAGCATCGCGCCGCGTCGCTGATGCATCGGCGATGCGGCTCGATGTGGAGCCCGATGTTCTCCACGCCGACGTCGCCGATGCATCTTGAGATCGCCCATGTATCACCGATGCGTAGGTGATGCATCGACGCTGCGGCACGATCCTCCGACCCCATGTGCTCCGACCCCATTTGGGAGGCATCTATAATCCAATGGTTCGGTATCCAATGCTCTCACGGTATGGGAGGAGGGAAAAAGGCGGGGAGTTTGAAGTGATATGGCGGGGCGCCGTAACCCGATGGGTGGGACGGAAGGCCTGCTATACCACCTTGGTGTGCCACCCGAGGACAGACCATATCCTTTCTCGAATGCGACGGTTCAGCCTCAACCGCGTGCTGGGAGGATGGCGGGAGAAGGCGGAGGACGAGGAGGAGGAGGAGGCGGAGATGAGGAAGGAAGAAAGACAAGCTGTGTGCGCTTGCGCCTCATCCCCCCTCCCCATCCCCTCCCATTGCGATGAGTTGTTATTTCTGTCCGTGGATTCGTGTCAAAGCCGACCTGGAACTTCAACAGAAAGACCCCATCATGCCATGCACAACCGAAAAATGGCAGCTGCGTGCATAGGAGGATGAGGAGGAGGAGGAGGAGGAGGAGGAGGAGGAGGAGGAGGAGGAGGAGGAGGAGGAGGAGGAGGAGGAGGAGGAGGAGGAGGAGGAGGGGAGGAAGAGAGGAGGAGGATGAGGAGGAGGAGTAGGAGGAGGGCGAGGAGGTGGCAGCTGAGCAGGAGGATCTGCAGGAGAAGAAGGAGAGTGTGCAAGGAGGAGGGCGTGGCCAAAGTGCAGCAGGAACTGGAGTGGACGGAGCGGGTGGAGCAGGAGGGCCAGGGGAAGGCGGCGGAGGAGGAGGAAGAGGAGGAGGAGGAGGAGGAGGAGGAGGAGGAGAGGAGGGGAGGAGAGGGGAGGAGGAGGAGGAGAGGAGGAGGAGGAGGGAGGAGGAGGAGGAGGAGAGGGAGGAGGGGGGCGAGGAAAATGCAAAAGGACTCGGACCCAGAAAAGTGGCCCACGCTGGGGCGAGAGCGCCATTCTGAGCGACGGGAGCAGGGCGCAGATCTGAAAATCAAGCCCACGTTGCAGCGGGAGCACCATTTTGAAACACCGAAAGCAGAGGATGGCAAAACCATATGACCAAAAGTACTTTTTGTCGAATTCTGCGTGTAGAAAACTACGCGGAGACAACGGGCCGTCTCCTGGACGGAGTCAGGGGAGAGAGAGGACAACAGTATTGATAATGTGTATTTGTAGAGGCGGAGGAGCGGGGGGAGGGGGGAGGGACGAGGAGCGGTCGGCGGGGAGAGGAGGAGGAGCGGGAGGAGAAGGGAGGAGGAGTTTTCGGCGGTAGGGTTGTTTCCAATACCCCTGGGGGCGTCGGGCGACAGATCTGCGCACGCGCGGGCTGGCGGCTGTCCTCCTGGACCATCCCCAAGATGGGTCGGGGGGCAAGGGATGGGGGGGAGGGAGGGAGGAAGGGAGGGAGGGGGAGGAGGAGGAGGAGGAGGAGGAGGAGGAGGAGGAGGCGGAGGAGGAGGAGGAGGAGGAGGAGGAGGAGGAGGAGGAGGCGGAGACAAGGAGGAGGAGAAGGAGGAGGAGGAGGAGGAGGAGGCGGAGGAGACTGTTTTTGGAGATCCCCCCCTGTAGAGGGCCAGGCCCGACCTGCGCACCGACCGCGCTGCCCCCCTCCCTGCCGCCGGCGAGGTGGCCCTCTTCTCCGGCGACGCGGGGCGGGCGCTGGGCGCCCTGCGGGCGCGCGTGGGCTGTGCGGGCACAGGCGCGCTCGGCGGCGCCTTCGAGCTCCAGTCGATGGACAATATCCCCTTTTAGATTCGGGGGTGGATAGACCTCCTACCCTGACACGTCGATTAAGGAATTGGCCGTTTTCGGTTCGCGAGAGGGCGTCGCGGCCGTCACTTTTGCGGGTCCAGGTCCGTCGGTTTCGGTCCCAGGCCGTTTTCACTAAGGGGAGGTTTACTAAGGGAGGTTTGTCCACCGCCGAATTTTTACAATCCGGGCGGAACGCGAAAGGGGTCCCCCCACCCAAAAAAAAGAACCGGACTCCCGGGATCTGGGGCTTTGGGGCCCTCTGGGCGGGCCTCGAAGCGGCCCCCCGGGCCTCGCAGGGCGTTGTGCCAAGCCATCCCAGCACACCCAAGGCGATCAGGGGGGTCATCGGAGACGTCCCAGAGACCCCCAAGACAGCACAAGAGCGCTCCAAGAGTGACCGACGTGACCTCCAGATGGCCCACGAGGCCTCCAGGACGGTCCCGAAGAGGCCTCCAAGAGCACTCCCAAGAAGGCCCCAAGAGGCAAAAATCATTGATTTTCTATAGGTTGTTGGTGAATTTGGGGGTTCTCCTCTTTTCGGCTTCCCGACGCTCCAAGACGGCGGTCTTCTGGGCGTCCGAAGCCGCCTGGGAGGCTCCAAAATCGCCCCACAACCATCCGAAAGGGCTTCCAGGCAGTCCAAGAGAGCCCCCAAACGGGACAACACGGGTCCAACATGGCCTTCAGAGAGCCCCATGGCGGCCCAAGATGGCCCCAAGACACCCTCCGAAGCAGTCCAAATCGTGACCCAGTCGTTCAGGGAGACCGTGGTTGGAGGCAGGGTGGCCCGAGGAAGCCCCCTGAGGCCCCCAGAATACGCCCAGGAGGCCTCCAGAAGGCCTTAAGAAAACCCGAAACAATTTTTTTAGGCCCCCAGAGGCTCTCCACGGAGGAGCCTCCGCAAAAAAAGCTGAGGAGGATGGGAAGAATGAGCGGGGTATGGCGAAAATAAGGAACAATAAGCATGGAGGAAGGATAACGAATAACATCATTATAGCGGCGATGCCGGAAAAGGCAACCAGGAGTTATCGCGGGGCCCTCCAGAGGTCTTCTGAAGCCATCTAGGGCCCTCTTGCGGGCCTCCAGTGGCGTTCTTGGAGGTATCCCATGGCTTTCGTGGGTCTCTCTTGGGAGCCTTTGGGGGCATCTTGGGCTTCTTGTGGGCAGTCTCGGGGCTCTCTGGGGCAGTCTTGGGGCCCCCTTGGGCCGCCTTTAACCCCTCTAGGGGGCCTCCCGGGCCGTCTTGGGGCGAGATTGGGGGCCCATTGGGCCGTCTTGGACGCTGCGAAGACCCAAAAAGCGGATATGCACAACAAATGTATTTCTTGAGGGCATGTGACGATGCTGGTTTCTTCGGGGCTCTCTTAACGGCCTCTTGGGGTGTCTTGGGGGCCTCTTGGGCCGTCTTCAGACCATCGAGGTTCCTCTTGGAGCGTTCTTGCGATGTCTTGGGTCTCTCTTGCGCCTCTCCGACGACCCCTCTAATCGCCTTCAGTCGGCTCGCAAGGCCCAGCGAGGCGCCCTGGGAGGCCCGGAAGGGCCACCGAACCTTTTCCAAGGGCGTCCAGGGGGCCGCCGAAACGTCCGAAAGGGCGTCCGGAGCGTCCCTGGGGGGGGGTCCGGGGGGGGGGGTCCAGGTAATCAAAATATAAGAATAAGTGTGTATATATATATACACACGAACCCTTACACATTCGATGGAGATTCCAAATCACCCCCGCGCCCCCGACGTCAATGCTGATCTCAGTCAGAGAGGTGCTTTTGGGGCTCGAGTAGTTCTGTCCACTCACGTTCCCCCCCCGTCGCCACGCCATCAATATGACTTTCGGACACAGGGCTCGAATATATAATGTTCATGTGCGGTTTCCTCGGGGGCCCCTAACGTGAAGTCGGGCCTGTCCCTCCCTCTGCAGGAGGAACATCCCAAGAGAGTCAAACAATAGTCTGGGGACGATGTTGGGACTCTTTTTGACTATGCTTGCGCACCTTGGGGCTATGTTTTAAAGTGTCGTCCAGAATTCGCCTGCAGGAGGACATGCCCGACCTCGCCCAAACGGTGCGGCGACCACACCGAGTCGAGGCCCCGATGGCTCGGGGACGAGGCCGGGAGCTTCTCCAGAGAAGGCACCCCTGCTGCTACTTTTCTATCGCTTTCCTTTTTGGGGGGCCTCCTGGGAAGTCCTCGTCGCCACCGTTGGATTCGCTCGGAAATGCTGGTGAGGACGCGCCCCTGGGGAGGTCCGGGGAGTAGCGGTATCGGTGTACCTGCTGGCTTCCAGCTTTTTGTTCAGCGTGTCGCGGCGGAGGCCCTGGCGGAGCGCTGTGCCCTGCGAGCAGATCGTGTGTCGCTCCGCTCCGCGGGGCTGGAGGCCCCGATCTACTCGGGACGTTGGCGTGCGGTGGCCCACTGTCGGGCAGGCCGAAAGGGGGGGATTGGGAAAGGGGGGGTACGAAATTTGCTGCATGCAGCTGATTTCGGCCTCACCGAGGGGCCCATTCCTCGATACATAGCCGCCTCCGGCGCCAGGAGGCGCCGGGAAAATCAGCTACGTGAGCTGATTCTCAACCCCCCCCTATGCTATCCCCCCCTTTCGCCCGACCCGACACTGGGAAGTGATCCGCGCGGCGCCGCCGCAGAGCGGTGGGCCGCAAGCGGCGGCGCGACACGCTGAGCGGAGCTCTGCCCGAGCGCCCGGGCGCCTCGCCGAGGGAAGTCCTCGCCGAGGGCGTCTCCCGGGGCTGCGGGTTTTCACCGTTCCGAGCGGCCCGCCGGGGAGCCGAGTGGCGGCCCCGGAAGCCAGCTCGGCGACCAGCGTCGTGTGGCGAGGCGAGCGGGAAGAACAGGAGGAGGAGGAGGAGGAGGAGGAGGAGGAGGAGGAGGAGGAGGAGGAGGAGGAGGAGGAGGTTGCGGGCCCATAGGAAGCATCCGAGAACGAATGACAACCCTAGGAAACAAGAAGAGAGCAGCTAACAACTGCAGCATCGGTGGGCATGAAACACGACCGAAGAGAGAGAAACAGGCGGCAGCGGCGCGCCTGCAGCCAGCCATGGGCGCGGCCCCATGCCACGCTCACCCTCCAGGAGGTGGCTGGGGGCCAGGCGCACACGGGCCAGGCCGGGCCAGGACGGGCAAAGCCTCGCGAGTCCTGGGATGGAGCCCCCGTCGGGCTCGAGAAACCTGGGCACGCTCGTTCGACCTGGTCGAAGCGACCTTGGACGAGCCCAGACACATGGATGACAGCTTGGCATTCCTCCCTTGGTCAACGACGAAGGCGCCGCAAGCCGTGCAAATGATCACTCGGCCGTTCACCTCGGCCTGGTGACCCAAATCACGATACCGCTCCACCTCCCGCCCAACCGCTCTCCCCACGTCCCCCAGAGGAAGAGGAGGAGGAGGAGGAGGGTCCATGCCAACGCCCGCCATGGCCATATCCACAGCTTCGGGCGCGGCTCGAACCGGGGCGAACTGGTCAGGCGTGCCCGCGAAGAAACGGGCAGCAGCACCAGCTTTCTGAGGAGTCGGCACGCATTGCGAATTGCGCAACAGGCGTCGAGACTCAGGCGTGCGAGCATACATGTTGCACTGCACACATCTCTGCTCGCCCGTGCGCGCACACAGAACAAGCTCGTGCATGATAAGGGCCAGCACTGGCGGCCCTGGGCCAGGAGCTGGCGGCTCGCGGACCTGGGCCCTAGACGCAACGTCGGCCGACTTTTGGGCCACCAGCTGGACCATCCAGGCAAAGACCTTAGCGGTGGCCTTCGCCTCTTGCAGCTTGCGCTTGTGGAAGTCCACAAGGACCTCGGGCACCGCGTGGGACCTGGAGCCCCACTTGGCGAACATATCCGCCCAGGCATTGCCAACAAAGTTGAGCACATCAGCACTCGGGTCAGTGCTGACCGACTCGAAATCCTTATGGGCGGGGGTCCATTCAAACGTGGGCGGGGCCGCACTGTGACGATACACATGATGCGCCTGCCGCCAGATATTGGCGTGTGCAGCGCCCGCGCGCTCATTGTGCACTCCCCAACGGTTGCCAGCACTCACGAGGGACAGGTGGTCACTGACCACGTGAGCAGGCTGACGGGCACGCGACAGAGCCTGCAGCATGGCATAGTATTCAGATCTAGGCACGGTTTGGACACGCCCGGGCAGAGGCCCATAGACCGCGCGCAGAGGAATTCCATCAAGTGAGACCTCCACCACAGACCACCCGCAGCGGGTGAGACCTTCCACCGCCGACGCCATGCCAGACCCATCCGTGAACACGGTCCCCCCCCAAGTCCCACGCCAGTCCCCCCACCCAAAAATCTCCAGGGTCGGCTCGACATCGGGTGGGAAGGGCGGACAGGGCGGCAGCCCATAAGAGAGAAAGAAACACTCTACCCCTTGGACTGACGCATGCTGGTTCTTGATAGCTTCGCGAGCTTCCAAGATGTCATCAGGCACGAGGGCGGAGTCAGACTCTGGATCACCCTGCAGTAAGCTGGGGCAATCAAACCACTGGTGCGCAAGCGTGCCAACCGCGCGCCTACAAGCCAAACAATCAGGGGAATCACGTTTCCCGATGGAGTGCAACCTCTGGGGGGTCCAGATGGCCGCGGCCCACAGGGCCCTCAAAGCTCCCCGACGGGCCGAAGATTTGATGGCTAGCACACTCTTGCGCACTGCGCGGAGCCAGCACGTCTGGCCTTCCGCGTCTTCTAAATAAGCTATTATGCGCTTGGACTGCCACCGGTGGATTCCCTCAACCAGGGACCGCTGGACATCCAAAGGACACGTGATCATGAGGTCGACCTGCCTACCGAGGTCGTCGGTCAGAACCGTGGGCGTGAGCATACCCCACCCGGTTCTCATCAAAGTCAAGAGCGTGGATGCGATGGGCCCGCGCGCACCAGCCCACGAAGGCCGGCAGTGCACTCGGTCTCGCACCATTTCCCATGCTC